ACTCTTAAGAGAAATATTTATCAAGATGTGTCGGACAGCCAAGAGTGGGTGCCGGGTGGTGTATGGGTTTGCGATAAGACAAAGCTTTAACTAGGCCAGTGGGACACCCAGCTTTCAGGGACAATTAATGCCAATTACTGTATTTTTATAACAAAACCCATCCACAGAAGATGTTCACCACTCTCCGCCTTAATACTTTGCTTCCTAGTTCAACCATTCTGGCAAAAGCGCTTTGTTTTTAGATTGTATTTGCTGTAAATCACTCATAATAATTATGGTCATATAAAATTTATTTAAAAACTTACAAAGAAATTCAAGGTAAGATTTATAGCTAAATTGTATTTACTTGCATTGCAGGTAAATCATTTACAGACATTATTGACATTCTAAATATTTTACATAGTAGGTACATTAATTTTTTATACGTGTATTATAGTTACTTACATATTGTATACTATGCATTTTTTTATTTATTTACATTTCAGATATTTACTTACATTGCAAGCACTTAAGGCATTTGAATTGAAGATATTTACATTTTAACTACTTAATTACATCCCAAGTTCTGAAGTATTTTCAATAACTCTATGGTGTTGTATTCCTTGTTATATTTTATTTATTTCAATTCAGTTTTCAAAATATTTCTACATAATAATTCCCCATGTATGGAGTTTAAGTAAGATAAAATCATTGTTTTCCTGTTTCTCAAAGAATGTCAATACAATGCATGCTGATCTGTTTGTGTTGTACTTTCTAAAACATCGGTTAATGATTCAAACTGATCATAATAACAAAATCCACTTTTGAGCGTCTGTACACCATTGACTTTTACAGGTTAGGTCAAACTTAAACTTAACCTTGACTAGCTGTTACCCACAGGCTCCACCCCGTTTTACTACATTAGTATTAATAAAACTATTGATTGGTTAAGTTAAGATGAAATAAACCAAACAGAATACAGTAATGGTAATACAAACAAAATATAATAACAGCTGAGGTATTTTTAACATTAGGTAAATGGAAAGTTCCCTTTGGAAAGCAATTATGACCTTATAGGGCAATTTATGAAATAATGGGTAATTTTGCGCAAGGTTTCTCGTCATGACGAACATTTTAAGTATATGGTTTATGGAGGTGTGACTTGTAGTTTTCTCAAAAGTTCATCGGTACTTTTGGCTTTATATATAGATACGTCACATTGCGAACCACTATTGATGTTTTACAATTATCTTTGTTTCCATCAAAGATTGAAGGTACAAGTAAATAGTATTTCCCGAATACCAATAATTTTTACCACAGAGAAGTAAAATTTATAGTTTTATTAATTTATATTTTATTTCTCTGTGTTTTTGCGTATGATAATAATTTGTAGTCTTACAAGTTTGTCAAGTCAACACTTATAAGAAAAACATTTGTTAAAATAAATGGATAAGTGTTAAGCTGCAGTCAAAGCATAATGCACTTTTGTGTATTATAAGTAGAAATTTTTTTAACCCTGAATATTAATAATGTTCAAATTACTGTGCGATTGAAATATATTAGTTAGTGCGTATTCGATATTAAATTTAACCTGATCTATGGAAACATTTGTTAAATCAGTAAAAAAATGATAATACTGTACCTGAGAAGGGCTATGTAAACTATAAAACTTCAAACAACGTCTGAGCTATGAATGACTCATAAAAATAGAAACAAAAAACAAAGTAGAAAAGAAACCACGTCTGTTCCCAATACCTGATCGACTCGTACATTATCTCCAGAATTGTGCATGGTGGAGGGGGTGGGGAGGATCAAGTTATGGGGTCTCCAATACTATTCTAGGCTGAACCGTTTATATTTGTAGGTAGTGTTTTGACGGTGGGGGAGAAGAAGAGGGCTAGTGACGTCACGATGACGTCAGGTGTGACGCAATGTAGCTTTTGTCTGAGGGGGGGGGTAAATCAATACCCGCTACTGTATCCCGTCCCCGTCCCCGTCCCCAGTCTTGGTTTTGGTTTTCATTTCACGCTCCCTCCAGAGTATAGCAAACAATAACCGGGAAAATCTTTTGGTGGAGTCTTTAGAGATTTGTAATACTAGGTAAAATATTATGAGACTTTTTTCAATTTGTTTGAGTTAACAAAATGTAAAACTCCTGATCAGTATGTTCTGCTTTATTAAATTTGTTATTTAGGTAGTTGTTCTCAAGAAAAAAAATGTATTAGTATAAAAAACAGTTTATGAACCAAGCACAATATCAATACCACATAAACAACATTGATTTCTCATTAAAGATCCCCAAATCAAATAATTGTTGTCAATAAAGCAGTTAATCCAGTCAATAAATACGTTGGTGCAAACATCAATTTTAAACTTACACAATAACAAACTAAATATATCCATGTTCCACCATTTTAAGTGAATTTATAGTTGATTGAGTTTTTTTTTATCTGTTGATTATTAAAGGAAATGTACACTTAGACCCGCGCCCAATAAAAATAGCGGATGCTCAATATGTTTAATAAATTATTGACAAGATACACACAAAAAAAGCTAGCCCAGACATTTGCCCGTGTAAAAACTACAACAAAGGCTATCAAAGAACCATTACTCTTCTAGACACTGATGAAGCCCTGTTTGGTGCTTAGGGCCAGATGTCTACATCTTAATACACACCTAGTCATATTGGACAAAAAAAACTGATATTTAAAATTAATTATGTTAAATAATTTTTGTACTCCAAATACAAGTTGGATACACAAATTTTGGTGTTTAGAGATGTATTTCGTGATTGAAGATTACATTGTATAAACAGAATTGTTCAATATTCTTTATGTTTTTTCTTGTTCATTTACTTTCCGGTAAATTATCAGAACTGACTAAACTTGTTAAGTGTATTGTGTTGATAACAATACACATGCATTAATAATACGATTACCAAACAATTTAAAAACAAATCAAATTAAAATATATTTATCAAATATTGAAGGATAAAACTGATATAATAAGATGTATATAGGGTGTACGAAAATTAGGTAACGTCGTTTTTATAGATTATAAACAAGATTGGAAAAGTTAAACATTCGTACCATTCACATAACAATGACATAGATTATAATGTAAAAGTACATATTTAAAAGAAAAGAAAAGAGAAAAGTAAGGTTTTCAATCATTTATCTTTTATTTTCACTGCGTTGTGAAAATGCATGCATTGGCATAACGTTTCCCAGTAAGAATTTATGTTCAACAATTAAATAGAAAAAAAACTGTTACAAATTAAGTTAACACTGCCCCTGCATTAAAAAAAACTCCTAACACACACAGCAATCCAAATAAAATGTCGTAGATTATAATGCAATCTATTCATATTACATTGTAGTTCAAAAAAGTACAAATGTACAAAAAAAGGAAATATTTTATACAAAAAATACGTTTACATTGTGTCATTGACTTTATATCTACACATAGACTTTATAGTGTAGATATAATGTCAATGATTGTATGTAGTAATGGTTTGTATTTTAACATTTAATACATCTACTAATGTTTGCTTAAAAAAATTATTAGTCGTTGTTAAAACGGCAATAAAAGTTGCTGCAAGTTAAGCGTTTAGCAATCCATTTGAATTTGCACTTCAGCAAGAGCCTTTGAGTAATAAAGAAAATTAGTGCTTTGGGAGCAGTTAAGATAAGGCTCGAATGCTATGCGGATTCCATGTTAGATATAAGTTAATGCGCGTTTGTAATTTATATTGTAATATTCACATTTGTTTCTTAAGACACTAAGGTATATTTTTACGGTCGTTATTAGGTTAGTTTTGAAATCAATCGCTTGGAATTTGTTCTCGAAGGCATTTTTGAAGAATTTTATAGATTTAAGAAACTTTATCAAAGACGATAGTATACGATTTGGTTTTCTATACAATACATATAAAAACTTGGGCTATAGTTTGATAACAGTACAGTTGAGGTTTTTAATCTTTTACTATTACTAGTACCACTGAAGATGGAACGCCGCCTAGTTAACGTATTTTAACTCACATATGAGTGACGTGTGGGTAGAATGAAGTGAGAAGCCTTGGGTAGCTTTGCCAGCTGTTTCATTAGCCAGGATCATTTACGAGCTCAATGATCAAGAACATCTGGGCCTAGTTTGGAACCACCAAAACCCTGCTAACATTGTTCAGGATCTTCCCGGTGACCTTTTGATTACCAGATGAGCACTATAATTACTCAGATGCCCAGATAAATCAGCTATTTTATAAACGTAAAAAATAATAGTATCATATTTGTGAAAATATTGTCATATAAAATATTTACCAGTATAACGTTTGCTGTGTCTATAAAATTCAAGCTAAAGAAATTTTCGTATGATCAAACATTGTTCTAACACAGCGAAATCACTTTAATGTAATTGAGATAACCTGGCATTTTTTTGTACTAATAAAACAGCAGATATCTTATTTAGTTGATGATTCAGATTCTTTTTTCTAACAATACAAAGGATTGGCGTGAAAATTCGTAAATTCTTTGACAAAAAATAATTATGAAATCCGTTTTTTTTAACAGTTAGTAATACACTAAAAAAGATGAAAATGACAACACAATTTCTAACATGTAAAGTAAAACCAAATAAAACGAAATATGTTGTTTGTACAAACAGTGTAATTTTTTAAATGAAATTTGACATTTGATCTGATCAATTTGACATCCGAACCAAATTTGAAATCCATTTCGTATCGTAAAGAAAAAACAGTTTAAATCCAAGCCATAAAATACACCCCCAGTAAAGTAGTGTTTCGAAGGACCAATCCACTCTTGTACTCGATAAAGCTGAAAGACATTGCTTCTACTTGAACTTCTAGTACAAGGTCGACAGGGTGAGACGAACCATTGACTAGGGTGTATTTACGATTAAACTGATTAATTCTGGTTTAAGAGCGTTGTCAGGAGATTCACCGGGGGTGGAGATCGATTTTTGGGGGCGGTGTGTCCGGGGGTGGCACGGGGGACAGCACTGGGGGCAGTCAGGGGACGGCTGCGGTAGGGGCACCATGTTTTTGGAACTGGAAGTGATGTGACTACAGGGGAGCACATACCAGGCATCTAATAAAGGTAAACACTTTGGTTTGTCAAACAAATCGTGTGTTTTTAAATTACCTTTTTGTGGTACACAAATGTTACGTGTGTCACAGATTTATTTGTATTTTTTAAGAAGCTAGTGACATTTCTAAAGCCATTCATAGCTTAAAACAATTTTTAATAATTTTGATAAGAATGTAGGACAAAAAGGTTCCAAACAACGAAAACTTGTCATTTCATATAACTATTGGAAATTGTATTTCTATATGTAAAGACTTCAAAAAATGAAAACTGTTACCTCACATAACTATTGGATATTGTATTTATAGCTGTACTGTGTTCGATGGTTGTATAAAAATTATTGTAAAAAATTAAATTAGGAACAAAGATTATCTTCGATTTTTTAGTCATTAGATTGGTCCTATCTTATTGAACATTTCACACAATATCTGTTTCCCCATTGGGTAAAGATAAAGAACTGATTTATTTTAAATTTATTATACTTTATGCAGATTCACTATACAGTACTTTTATCAGTGCTTTCGTACTTCTTGATTGCATCTTATGGCAGTAAGGATATTGTACTACTGTATATATTTTGTCTTAAGTATATACTAAAACCCGTTCCTGTATTTACAGGAAATGAAATAGCGTTGAAACTTAGAAACTACTGTAAAAAATCATCTACTCGAATCTAAAACTAACAAAATTAGTCAAAATAAAGTCGTATTTCCCTTACAACGTTGTGCTTGTTTTATATTTATAAAACGTTACCTGGATTATTTACATGCAATATACTGACTATCTAGACATTTATTGAAAAATGTTGTTGTATAAAGTTACATTATATCTAAATGTAAATTAGTCACAAAGCATGTTATTGAAGACGTTTTTAGATCTCTAACCAATTAAATTATTAAAAAAAAGGTTATGCCTATATGTTTTTGTACAATTAACACATTACTGAATTCTGAAATCAGGCACCTACAATTTAGATATTTTACTTAGTTTTGAAGCTGCGACAAAAAAGTAGCCTTTTAAATAAGTTTGTTGAACTATTATTCATGGAAAACCCTAAATCTTACAGAGTTTTTCCAACAAATTATGCACGTTTTAAAACAACTGCGCAGTGTTTCATTTGTGATATGATATTAGGAAATATATCCAGGAATTCCCGACGCAAAAAAACGTTGAATTCAATAACACCGAAGTAACCTTAAATCATTACATCCCAAGCAACACCAATAAATATGCTATGTTAAACTCATCTCCATTCTTACTTGGCTTAAAATACCTACTTTGTTTGATCGTCATTTCATAGAACAGTATTAACAGTAAATAATACAGTATATGTAGTCACTGAAAACAATAAACATGTAAAGTATAAACCATTCAGAATAATTTGATCCACCTAATTTGTTCGATCTAAAAGTACTGGGATGAAATAAATCAAGAGCATTTCAACAACTACTTCTACATAATGTAGTATTTGTAAAACCAGTATATGAGTTATTTAGAGATACTGAATGCAACTCATACAAATTACATTATATAACGCTTAGCCTTGTTGTTAAGTCAACATAACACGTTAATTATTTTAGCCACATGAGCCAGTGTCACATTTTACAATAGTAAATATAATTTTGTTAACGTCCCGAAACACCGGCCAATAAAGGAACACTCAAATTATCCACTTCAATTTTTGAAATGATAAAAATGGATATTAACAAAAAAGGGATGAGCTTTCATTCAAAATAAATACTAAATAGTAACTACACGGATAATCATTTCGGTCTTATGCAACTAAAGTTTTCTTTGCGTAAATATTATTCAGAATACGAGATCCTAATGAATAAAACTTACAACGAGAACGCATTAAGAAGGAAGTTTAAACATTAGAGATCCCAAGCCGACCGTTTAACGTTATTAGTCCACTGTCAAATGTACACCCGTGTGCTCCTTGATGAGGCAGGTGTGGGAGTAGTCTTAATCTCTTCGTTTGACCTTTGAGAAATACAATTTCGATGGTGGCACTCTTGAAAATTGTGCGTTTAAACGCTGTGGGTAAAAAACAAAATGGCCCCCATTTAAAATGTTTAAAGTCAAATTCCATGAAAACCAGCTATTAAAATGAAGTTTTGCAACACATTATTTAAATCCTTTTTATTCCAAATCGAATGACACTTTATTTGCGAAAATCGGATAATAAATAAAAAAGTTATGTAACTTTTTTTACTAATGCTAATTATCAAAATGGCAGTCATTTTAACACCACAAAGTTAAATTCCATAGAAACTAGTGACAAAAACATTATAAAAGTTACATAACTTTTTTATTTATTATCCGATTTTCGCAAATAAAGTGTCGTTCGATTTGTAATAAAAAGGACTTTACATATTGTGTTTCAAAGTTTTGTTTTAATTGCTGGTTTTTATGGAATTTGACTTTAAAAACTTTTAATGGCCGCCATTTTGAAATTCGATGAGCCTAATCAAAGATTTTTTCGGATAATGTTAATTGTTTTAGACTTAAAGTTTATACCAAGTTTCATAAAAATATCTTCAAGGGCTATTGAGTTATGAGTTATTTTCAAAAAATTCAAAATGGCGGATTACGGCTAAACTAAGTCGAAATCGACACAAATTTATACAACATTTTTGCACATAGAATCTGAATCTGCACAGTCCACAACGCTTTACTGAAACACCCTTTATTACTTTTTGAAATATTTAACTGTCCTGGGACATTACATCCACCCTGATTAATTTTATTTATGAAAAATATAAAATTATGTTTTATGAAATAATGGTTGATCCTACATAAAAACTGTAATCATATTTTTTGTGCAGATTTAAAATAGCTACATTTTGGTATCAACAATTCTTTTGTAACCCTAACGGTTACTGATATAAGTAAGAAAACAAGTTTGCGATGGCGGCCATTTTGTTTTTTACCATTCGGCGTTCAAACGCACAATTTTCAAGAGTGCCACCATCGAAATTGTATTTCTCCAAGGTCAAACGAAGAGATTAAGACTACTCCCACACCTGCCTCATGAAGGAGCACACGGGAGCCTGTATATGTACATTTGACAGGGGACTATATGTAAATAATAGCACAATTATGCTGCTCGTAGCAGGCGAAGCTGCATAATACTGCATTGTTGCGGATACATGCACATGCTGCAGAATCTTAAATAGATATAATGTGTTTTGAATCATGCATGGCTTGTATTCACTTATATGTTGTTGACAGTTTATAAGAGTTTAAAAGAGTTTACCTACGACCGTTTTTAAAAGTAGCCGTTTCAGTTCAGTTCTTAGAATTGAAAAGTTTCTCATAACAGCATACATTGTTCTCTTTCATAAAAGCATAGTTTTTCATAACAACAAGAGTAACGGACCAATGAGGCTCGAGGATTGAGAGAGAAGAAGTGAAATTGTAATGATTCAAACTTAAACTAATCAGCTGTTCAGGACAATTTAATTGTTGAGTGGTTCAATTTGTGTTTGGTACAATGTTTCGTTGCATCACTGTCATTGGCAATGAGAGGTTATAAACGAAAACACAATCTCTCTTAGAAGTTATGAGAAGTGATTTTTAGTAACTCACTACCATAGATAAACATAAACCATAGATTAAACATACTCCCTTAGACATAATGTTTAACATACCGGTACTCCCATAACTAAGGGAGTATGTTTAATATATCTATGTTAAAACTCTATCGTAGGTAAAGTAGTGTACGCAACTCGCGTAAATAAGTGTTAACGACACGAGTAGAAAATTTAAGGTACGAGCCATAAAAAAAATTTAACTTAAAATTTTCTACTCGTGTCGTTAACACTATCTTTACGCAATCGTTGCGTAAATAAACTACTATTATAGGTGACCATGACTAGAATAACAGACCATTGGGTCATTGCCACTACACATTCACGTACATCGGGAGTTTATTAAATTAAACACAGGGGTTTATTGACTTGCTCACAAAGTTGATTGATTGAGTTGAAACCACGGAAAGCTTTGACACAATTTTCAATATGTCATATTTTTGCTCCGGGGTAAAGAATGATTTTTCATCTGCGTTGTTTCAGTTTTAATTTCACATTCTTTTTGGCTAGAGAACTGTTAGTCTTTTTTGGGAAGACTTATAAAAGGAGAGTGTTAGAAGTTAAAGTGATTTAAAAATCTTTTCTACACATTTGTTTTTAAAATTGTATTTCATTCTTTGAATTCTGATTAATTCAACGAAATACATTATACATTTAGTTTTATGATTAAAACTTATTTTATTTTAAGATTTATTACTAAACTTATAATGATTTTATAAGCCATGTTGATTATGTTTAATGTGTAACAATGAAATACAAAAAAAAACTGTTAATTCTTCAAATAAGGTGCACTTTCAAAGAATTTACGTTTGACACGAATAATTACTCATTGGTTTTAATAGAGGAAAAACAGCATATCACAAGTTAAATGTATAAAAGTAAATCGGTGAAATCTGGTTTTACGTTCGTTAAAAACGAAAACTTAGGCAAACGTCAAAACTACATTATCAACACAAGCACAACAGCTATACCGACAGTTCATGGTAGCATGTTTAACCTACTGAAGTACGATACTTAATTAAAATCCAATCCTGTTTCTATTCCTACAGTCGACTGACGGGCTGACATTTAAGCAGACATAGACAGACAGACGTACAACATGTTTAATGGATGTGTCGACACATTCGATCAATGTCCATCAATAATAATGCACTTTGGGCCAGGTAAACCAACTTCAAAGCCGAAATCCATCAGTGTGCCTGCATACTCTGTCCAACAATATTGTAGCTGCTCGGTTTATCATAAAACTCCCATAACAAAGCATTCGTATTGGTGCGATGTATACTGTAACGGGGAGATTCTTTAATTATCTAAGATAAAATTTATATCTAATGTAGACTGGCAAAAAAACGTCATTGTGGTAATTTATGTGGAAGTAGTAGCGTAGGATGAATCGAGTATTTAAAATAAGAAAGAAGG